GATAGATATGATAGATAGATGATAGATAGATAGATAGATAGATAGATAGATAGATAGATATAGATAAGAATTTCACTTTTTATTCCTAATTTAGGGAAATGCACACCAAATTTATGCAAAATGCCTTTTCAGAATTATTCTTCTACGCTATCAAAAACTAAAAAAAAAAAAAAGAATCTAAGTGTATCTAGAAAAAAAATCCCGCTTCAAGTGTTATATTCATACTTTAGTAGGATTATAACGGTCTTTAACTAATACCGCCCATCACAGTCTATATTACACGTTCGAAGCAAAGATAAACTTCTATGTTCTTCGAAATCGCAATGCAATTTTCTTTTACGGGTAGTTATAGAGATACTCTTACAGGACCTGCATAGTAAAAAATAAGAAGGGGCTAAAAAACGCCACCAAAGATATTTTGGGTTGAGCCGTAAAAAAATCTAATGATGACTATTATCTTCGTCGACTGTTGGCTTGGATACTTCTCTGGGCGACACTTTCTACTTCCACTAGGGCCCCCTTTGCGTCACATAAATCATGACTGTAACGGCAACTAGTTAAAGAAAGAGTTTGCACATCCTTTTTTTTTGCACTGTACCCGTGTTTCTGGAGAAATTATAAGTGCTTTTGAGCTAAGAAATTGTCGGAGATCATTGATGTAATTTGAAAATGCTTGGTCGTGTCATAAAAATAAAAAAAGAATGATATTGGTCCCTTGAGGATAAAAAAGCTAAAGTACTTGCCATTTTTTAAAAACCATTTTTATCGTTAAATATTTAATGACGTTAATAAATAATGTAATTAATAAATTAAATTTTATGTTCCCTAAAAAATATTGTAAATTACGTAATACTCTTCTAATGTAGATAGCTCAAACTTTTTTTCGCATTATTCTTACAAAAGTTAACTCATGAAAACTTATGAAGGCCTGTAATATATATTATTTCCAACAATACAATTTAGCATATATTATGCCATGAAAATTAGAAAATATGTCTATATAATAATTGAAAGTACTGAATAAATCAAAATATATTTCAGATTTAAGGTGAAAAAGGTAATTTCAATAGTGAACTATTTAAATATTTCTATGGTTTTTATAGAATTTTGACAGCAAAAACTATTTAAAATACCTGTGGAAGTGATTTTGTTCTCAGGAATTGCTGATATTCCCTATTTAATCTAAAATACTGCTTCTATAGCATAAAAAGTTATCTATCCTGCTTTTTCCTGTTAGTATTTTACAATATTTGAAAAATTGCAATTATGAGAAACAAATTGTCAGATATATTTCTTAAACAAGTATTGTTTTTTCAAAAAAAATTTTCGCTTACCAAGTATTTCTTAAGTTTTTTTTTTATTGTATATATGAAAAAGCATAAGAAAATAGGTTTGATATTTACTATTTCTGAACATCCCATTTAAGTGCATTTGTAGTTTTAGCATTGATGTGATTGTATGATTCTGAACAAAATCAAAAGACTTCTGTATCTAATAGGCGAAATCCTTGCTAACTAGATTCTGATGATCTTTATCTACATTTTTGTTGCAAAAAAATTTTTTTTCACTGTTGGTTGCTGTTCATTTTACCTCTTATATGTTGTTAGTGCTGCAGTTTAGACTGAAAACTTTATCCGAGATAATATTATTAATCAAACCATCAGTCACCAGTTTCAAATTAAGAGCTAGA